GTTATTCCCAAAGTTTCATAACAATTTCTGTGTTATTTTTCTGTGGTATGAACTTACTTAACTGTTACCACCTAGCCGAATCTTTGTCATTTACATCCAAAGTCCAGCTTCTTCTTCCTGGCTTCTGAATTCGCCCGGAATCCTGGTCTGGCGGAATCACGATGAAATATCTTGTTTCATAACAATTTCTGTGTTATTTTTCTATGATTTCAACCTGTTTAACTGTTCCCAACTGACTGAATTATTATTATCTTTTACATGTAGAGTCCAGCTTCTTTGTCCTGTCGTTGTTTGTCTGGGTTCTCCCATTGTCCTAGCCGGACGGAATTACGACGAAATATCTTATTAACCTCAAAGTTTCGAGACAATTTCCGTGTTATTTTTGTGTGATATCAATCTCTTTCACTGTTATCGTCTAATTAAATTCTTATGTTGCATATTAAGTTCAGCCTTAATTGTTCTTTGGCAAAAACTGATGCTTCTTTTCTTTATCAATATTTATCTCCATAGTTTTTTGCTCTTTTTAGTTATACGAAGTGGAGTAAAAAACTTACGGTTTACGATGCTTTGGTTTAATGTTTCAAACTACATTCTCATAAAATTCTCAAATGCGACAGTGCTTGAAAACAATGAATGAAAAGGTATGGTAGATGGCTATGGAGATAGGTGTAAGAAAAAGAAGCACTCTACGGTATTTTGTTGTTGACGAGATGAGTTTCGAGCGTTGGATTTTTAGTGCTCAAAGCGATACGCCTGCTACATACCTACATACATACAATAAATGTACATCTATGCATGTAGGCAGACGTCTACAAGTGTAGATAGATGTATATTATGTATGCCTCGCAAACTTCACTTAAGAACGCCATTTTAGCTGTTTAACGTTTAAGTGTAAATTAAAAAAGAATATAAGAAGATAACGGGGCTTTATGTTATAAAAAGTGCTCGACAACTTCAATCACGTCTTACCTTTTAAATTTCACAAAAAGAGAAACGTATTATGCTCTAAACCTAAAGAGTCGCTTAAGACCTAATTAGAAAAAGTGAGATTATATTTACAGCACGACAAAGACTACTTCATGCATTTAAAAATTGAATAAATAATGAATGATACTTTCGGTTTTGTTATTATTATTATCGGTAAAACCCATCAAGCAAATCTACTGTAGTTTTATTATTAATATCATGAAACAATTGTAGGTATGCACATTTAGGACGAGGTAATCAACCAAAACAGACAATGTTTACAGATGAATAGTTGTACACTTTCATTTAAAACAATTTATAGATATTCTGTAACAAAAAATAAATGAAGACTTTTAATGTACTATAGTTTTATGACATTCCCTGAGATTATCAACCAAGGGCGAAACGTCAAATAAACGACTCAGTTGCTGTTCTCCCCGAAAGAGGAAACCCCATTTGAACTAATATCCTAAACTAAGACTGTAGTAAGAAACATATTTAACTAATAAATATTTAAATCGGATATAATAAACGTTAAATATTGTTCCTAAATCAAAAGCCTTATTAGCTTAATTGTACACCACTGTCGATTAGGCGCTAATAAAACTATAGTATTCGTTTCATTTTATGTAATACCGAAACTATCAAAATAAATCCTCACGTAGTCACTACACCAAGCTTATATCGAGATAAAACGGTCTAATGTAGGTAGAAGGTATCGCGACCCTTGTCGTTAGTTGTCGATCCACCCCGATACTATTCCACGTACTGTATACCGCGACCCTAACATATAACGACCCTCGTCTTCTATTTTCAAGTTGGGCACCGACCAAATAACGTCGTCGGTTATAAATGACGCCGACAGTTCCTGTATTATGGGCTTCGGTCGCCGAAGGGGCTGAAGGCTACTTTTGTTGAAATTATATTTCGTTATAAAACTGACCGTCATCACCACCCCGTATCTGCACAAATACGAAGCCTAAATGCTAACTAAGCAAATGTTATAGCAGTATTAGCATCTAGCAAGGAGGACTTAGAGATAGCTTTAAATAAAATGGATGTGGTACTAACAAAACAGTACTGTATGAAAATAAATAAAAGTAAAACAAAAATACTGGTATGCAAAGGAAAAAAGTAGGGAAAGAGCGAATATAAAGATACGAGACGAAAAATTTGAAGAAGTGGTTGATTTTAGATACCTAGGAAGTCAGATAAGTCAGGATGGAAAGAGTAGTAGGGATATAAAGCAGAGGATAGCGCAGGATCGTGTCGCCTTTAATAAAAAGAAGTCACTTCTATGCTCGCGAACAGTTAATTTAGAAATTCGAAAAAGGTTTTTAAAGGTGTATGTTTGGAGCACGGCGTTGTACGGGTGCGAAACATGGACAGTGGGCGCGGCGGAAAAGAAAAGTGAAGTTATTAGAAAGAATAAGAGAGCAGAGGACTCTATGGAAGTTAACAAAAAATAGGCGAGATAGGTTGGTAGGCATGAAGGTCTAGTCAGAGACATATTATAGGCAGAAACAGCAGTTAAGAGGGGTAGAGATAGACCTAGATTAGATTACTGTTCGCAAATAGTTAAGGATCTGGGCTGTTCTAGTTTTAGGGAAATGCAAAGTTTAGCTCAGGATAGGAAAGAGTGGAGGTACGTGTCCAACCAGTCTTAGGACTGACGACCACAAGTATATGTATACTTCACTGATATATCACATGACTCAAAACGCATTGGGATCCATTATAAAGAGGGGTATGTTCGTTGGCCAACCCTAGCCCACCCGTAGGTACGTTCCTGTTTTAATGAGTTTCCGTGAAATACCTGAGACAAATAGATACTTATTTGAATTCTGCAGTCAATGACTTCTCAACAATTAATTATCCTATCAACTTTAACAATGTATACTACAAACAGACAGATCGGTGCAGAAGTACAAAACTTTTCAACCAAAATTTAACACAAAGTCGTACCCTTATTAATAACTTACTGTAGGTAAATACCTGTCATAAATACTTTTCAAACTTATGTTAAATTATGGAATGTTACTAATGGAGAAACATTAATTATAATTAAACATAAAAGAATTTATGTTCTAAGATACTCCTATCAAAATCAACAAACTACTTTTTATATGTAATACTTTAATTAAACTACAATTGAGGGTCAGCTCATTAAGTAATTTAAATTGGTAGCATATCGTATGAAAGGTTCCATTCTAGCATAAAATGAAGCTGTCGAATGCAGCAAAACCTAATTAACACATAAATACTTTAAAAGTTGAATTTCAATTTTATTGCAGGTGTATACCCTTCATCGCAATTAACTATAAAAAAGCTTTTCCATTTCCACATAAAAACTATGAATTTACAAAATAATTATTCGAGGGTATTATGTAGGTATCGTTCCCCATTTATTATTTAACTTTGACTGTTTCAGATTAATTCAATTTTCCTGTTAGGGCTTTAAATGCATTTACTGCAGTATCACCTGCAACGTGTAAGATATTTGGCGTACACGATCCCGAGATCCCGAAATTGCATACTCGATTAAATATTGAGGGTGTGCTATGAACATATAGCGATGTAATTATCCTATTTATAGTACCATTTATAACAGGCATTCAGTTACTCATAATACCCACGAATTATTTTAGTCACTTAAGATGTAATATTTTCTTCTTATGATAAAAGACAAAGAAGCTTTAGACTTTATATCCTGTTTCTCAACTTTCTCCGTAGAAATTAGAAAGCTACCTATAGGTATCTGTATTAACATCAAGCAGACTACGATTGATGTAATATTTCCTAATGAACTATGCCATTAAAATTTCTGAACTAGATTACTGCTTTAGTAGGAATTAATTAATACAGCTCCTAGTTCCAATTAGAGCTACATTACAGTTCATGAAAATCATATTTATATCTTACAGAGTTACAGTTACAAACGTGCAAAATAATAAAATTATATGATAAAATGAAATAGTGAAGACAAATTCAGGTGCTTATCTAGACAAAGTTTTACGTAGATTCTTCTGGCAGTAAATAGATCTCAAATTGACAGTTCAAAACAAAAATCAAGGAATATCACAATCATTGATATCCACTGTGAAATTCAAAGTTAATATTTTAAAGGTAACGTAGAGAAAAAAGTGAAAACATTTCGGATATGTTATTAGAATCGGAAGTTGCTATAGGTATACTGTTTCCTTATTCCTAAAATGCTTTAATTATTTACAGTTACTTATGATGTTTTTTTATTCAGTTGGTATAGCTACGTTAATTCTTTTGTTATTTTAAAGAAAGTAAAACTGGTTTTTAAATGGTCCCCTCAACAACTAATGCTCCATTTGTTTAAGAATAAACTACCTAAATAAAATCGAAGTCAGAGGTAAACTAGGCATTGTAATCCTTCTTCTATTTCCGAGAAATTGCAAAAAAAGAACGATAACCTTTCAATAAACTGATAAAACTGGTAATAAAGTGTCCGTTAGATCGTTAAAGAACATGTTTGGGACAAGTACGACGAGATTCAACCCAACGAAATGGTACTTCAAAATGGCGGCTGACCGTTACAAATAAAAGTACCACCACTATGGTACCTGGTGCTAAAGATTGTATAGATAAACGTAGCTAATAAAATCACATTTCCACTTCGACTAACTGATTTTTCCTTCAGTTCGGTTTTGAAAAATGCCAAAAAGTCCCATTTATTAAAGAAGCAAAAAGGTAAAAACTTGTTGGGTGACATAAGTAGATGACGAAAAGGAAAATTTCTAATTCATTCCTTTATTATGTTCTTAAATTGGCTCAGGAATTTCATAAAAGCAGCAGCAGCCGTGAAAGCGGACAATTCTATTGTGGCTTTAACCTTCGTAAGAGAAACCTTTCACATTCAAAAGCTCGCGTAATCTCGTTAAATCGTTCCGAGTCTCAACGAATTAACTTGTTTTTAAGTTGTATTTGGAATGCATTATTTTTTTTCCTTATCCTTACAATATCAACCAACAAATCGGCTTGGTCGTTGCCTATTTTTCACTTACCTAATTGCAAAGCGAGGAATGTGATTTTCCAGTAATCAGCCTTCTCACTTAAAAGATCCATTGCTGCGTCCACAGATTGAGCTTAAAAATCCTGAACAAAATCCGTGTAGCACTAGGTTCTCATTCCGCAACAAAAGGCTTTGGTTTAATAATCAAGTTAATCTTACACAACACCAATCTTAAGTCCTTTTTTTTTAATTATTTCTAACACTTCACCACTTTTTCATTGTATTCCTCTATAACAAGACGAACAAACATTAAACAGTCACAATATATTGTAAACAGTTATCCAAAAGCGCATTTGTTGTTCCTTTCGTACCGGAAACCGAGTTAGAAACTTTTTCAAAAGTTCATGTACACAAAAGCGTTCAAAGCGCGATGATGGGACAAACAACCGGCACAGACGTGTTCACAACGACGTCGAGTTACGGAATGGGAAAAGGAAAACTCGGCGTACGTTGTACTCAATACCACCAATGGTAGCGCTGCGATCGACTCGGATGGCGAGGAAAATGTCCCGAACAGCCACGAAGAGCTTTAACGCAAGAAGGACAGAGGAACGATCAACAAGCGTACTACCGGCAGCAGGCGACGACATAACTCCGCCTTTATTTCTATTTGAAGACGATTTTTCACGGTCACGTTTGTAAACAAATGTGGTGTAGCTACCAAATTACGAACATGCTTCAGCTTCAAATGACTTTTGAATAATGAAAATTCGCATTTCCACATTCAAACAAACGATACAATTTCAAAAGAAACGAGCAAATAGAATTGCTACATGTTTTAAAAGTTTTACTTTTATTTTCTCTACATCGAGGATGAAAGTTCGTAGGATAACCACAAATATATGAACCCACTATAGTCTGATAAAAATAGTATATTGAAGTACGGTAATAATACACATAAAGCACAGGATTCCGCAGCTGAAATCCATTGCTGTAGCTTATGTTGTGGATTTCGCACTTTACAGTCATGTAAAGACATAATCGCAACACTCATTTCGTCTGTGTTGTCTTTTCCTATCTTATGATTCTAACCTCAGTCAACTTAAAACAGATGAATGGCTTTATTTGTAAACTATCATTAAGTAATGTGCTAATAGGTATGAAACTAGAATAAAATTGACTAAAAAAGATAATATATACGTGTTTCATTACACATAATATTATATTTTAACGAACAAATTGATTAATTTTCTAAACCAATTTAGATAATTCTATCATCCATATGAAGGGTTTTAAAGCTTGCCAAGTTACACTAGTGTTTTTAATTAATTTTCCTTTAATGATTACGACACCTCGAGCCTCCAACCATATTTTTTCAATATGATTATGTCTTACATCAAAAGCAGGTGTTGTCTATATGCGAATAAGAAGATGAAGAAAAACGATTGAGGAACCTAATTAAAGTGTAATAGATTTGGGCCACAGTCTATTACACATTGCTGCATGGGGAACAAATGGAATCTATTACATAATTAACGTTAATATCTCTTACGTGTCAGTTTATGAATCACTTCTATCTGTTATTAATTTCTATATAGATGTTAGTTAGATTCTCACATGAGATATGATAAACTCACAAAAGTTCATCTGAACTGTATATGAAAAGCCTAGGACAATAGTGAAATATGAGCTTTTGAACCCTGTAAATGTAACGCATTTAGGAAAAATATGTGACGAAAAATTCTGTAATGTTCTGGCCAGACGTCCTTTGGGGCGATAATCCTTTAACCGCCATGTATCTTTGAAATCACCAACTGAAAACCAAAACTTCCTTCATAGACGGAGGTAGAAAGTTAACATAATGCCTTCAAGAGGCTACAGGATTCAGTTGAGATGCTTTACGGCAAGTAAGTACAGACAAACTGCACTTACTTTTATTATTTACCCGAGAAAAAAATGTTCAGTCTCTCGGAGTCTCTGAAAGCGAGACTCGAGTCTCCGTCTCTCATCGAGTCTCATTGGTGTCGTTGAGAGAGACTATCGAGAGACTGTCAAAAAAACTGTTTAGAGTCTCTGAACGAGAAACTCGAGTCGCTCACAGAGAGATCCTCATTTCGTATCCAGTCTTTGAACGAGAGACTCGAATCTCTGAATAAGTGGTATCTCGATAGACATGGTTAAAATTTTGCAAGTTCAACATATTTCAGAGATCCCAGTCTTTCTACGAGAGACTCGAGTCTCTCAATTTTTCAGTTTTATTCATTTAGTCTCTCTGTGAGAGACTCAATTCTCTGAATTAACAATTTTATCGTTCGAGTCTCTCATACAGAGACTGTGAGAGATCCATAAAAACACCTAGGCAATAACTGAGAGACTGTGAAAGACTGTGAGAGACGCTGAAAGACTCTGAGAGACTAGACAAAGACTGAAAATTTTTGTCTAGGGTAATATATTGATTTATCTAATTCTGTAAGGTGGATACAATTCAGAATTTTGAAAAGTTTGCTGCACAATCTGCGTAACTAATTAACGATTGTCATGTGTTCTTAAATCCTCTATTTATAACTTACGACTCATTTCATTTTGGAGCTCGACTATAAGGTTGGTAAATTGGTAGCGTTTTGCGCCTGTAATTAGTTCCACATGTTTGAAACCGTCTAGACTGTTATAACTGGATTTTTCGCAAAAACGAAAGTAATTTTCCACAAACTTGTGTCTATTTAGATAAAAAGGAAAGCTGAGAAAAGAGCCAGTGCAGTGTAAGATGAGCGTCGGCACAGAGTACAAAGGGCATATTATCGGGTAGCAGCAGAAAGCAGAATTGTCGAACGATATTGGATACCAATATTCTTTTGCGAGCTAAAAACAGTTTTTAAAGTCATTCCGACAAACGAATAAAAACCTGCATTACTTCTGTTAAATTCCGAATGTTTTTTTGGAAAGTAGCTTTTAATACTGTTCAAATTTACATAATAAAATCGTTTGTATTCGCTCTTATGCAAAACGTGAAGAGAAGCGAAAAAACGAAAAATAAACTGACTATGGAAGATGCTTCGTTCAAATTCAAAAACCGAAACCACTCGAATAATAAAAAAATATTCTAAACACAGCTCATTTTAGACTGACAAATCTACTATAGAGAATTCTATATTTAACGAATTCAGACGTATAGAACTCAGTCATATATAAAATAAAATAATTATTCAAAATTTACTGCAACATTTTTGAGAAAAAACAGCTCTTTTTCTGAGTTCTGAGGCTCAGTCAATCTCTGATTTTCTGTAATCAATTAATAAGAGATGATAGAAGTATTCTGGACCAAGAATTCCATTTCAAGCCCAATTTTACAAAAATTCTTTCTATATAGTTAATAAAAAAAACGGTGATGCCGAATTCCCTCCCGCAGGTAGTTTTGGTTAAAATATAGATAGTCGAATTCCCTCCCGGGTACTAGCCGAGTTCCCTCTCGTTCATATCAGCTCCGATAATTAAGTTAACGACTACTTACCGATTTTATTTATCGAAAATAAATATATATTTATAGTGCACTTCAGTACTTCAGTAAATTAAAGATTAAATAATTTCAGAAAGAAAACACATATCCGTTATGAAATGTTTATTTATTTAATTTTAAAATAGTTTCCCACTACCTTAACAAATTCAATATTTGGAAATTCGTATGCGTCTAGCTTTTTGATGCAATCATCTAGAGAAACTTTATTAGTTTAATTTTTTAAAATTAGATCAAACACTTCGTATTTTAACATAAATTTCACATTGAAAATCTAGTAAAACATTAGCAAATTGATAAATATGAGGATGATGTGGTGTTTATTATATATGAATAATATTAACATTAATATGTGATGTGAGGCTGTATTATTTAAACAACTCTTTATGACTTTATGCCGTTGGGAGGCAATTGATGTATAATTAGGAGGGAATTCGACATACTGAAAATTTAAACCCTAATTAAAAACAGGTATAGGTATTATTCATAAAAATTAATTTTACAACCATTCAATAACTGTAAATTTATTAAATATAGACGTATTTTTATTCACGTTATGTTACCCACAACGTATAAAAAATAGACGCTACCCTACGCAGACCAAATGGTCAAACGGTCAACGGTTATAATTGGAACATAATTAATGAAAGGTGACCCGCAAATCACTAATTAGCAAACCAATTCAAGTGACGAACGAAATAACCGAATTAACTAAACTAAACATACAATACAAGTCTAAAACGCGCTCTGTATTGTAAGCAATCTCTGAGAAGTTTGGTCATTGCGATTCAAGACAAATGCAATTTAGAAGGTCTTCTCTAACGGAAAATTAAGTAAGTTTTCAACTGTTAACTACCTTTCGTGCAGTAAAGTTTTGCGCAAGAAAACAATTAACTCTGGTTTAATGCGGGCTTGAGATTCGAGAACAAAGACCTATTATGCATTATTTTCAGTAAGTAATGAGAAAATAAAAACAAATTTTCAAAAGCATATCGCTTCAATTATTACGAGGTTTATGATAATAAATTCACGATAACGTTATGAAACGAAAAATCAGAATGAAAGTAAATCGGCAAATATCGAATCGAATTTCTTGATTCTCGTCCGTTCGTTTTGGCAAGTATTCAAACAATAACCCATAGGATCGATCCCAAAAATCCCGAAGTTCACAATCAAACAGTTTTTTTAACAAAAATACACATTTAACTGTAACGCTGTTATCCCTACTAAATTTTTCGAGTGCTTTTGCGTCCAAAAGAGAATCTGTCAGTGAGATAGTTTCAAAAGAAAAAAAACAACCAGGCTTAATTTTCAATTAATCTTTCTAAAGTATTATATACGAATGTCTATATTTCAACATCATCATCACAAGTGATTTCTGAAATCTGCTTTCTTCTTAAAAAATTAATTTAAGTAACAAATTGCAACGAGACGCATATTGTTCTAAAGTTAACATGGAATTCCGTAGTCAGAAAGGAAAAAAGAGTAATATAAATATAGGAGGCTAAAAACTAGGATTTTTTTTTGATCGATCTTTAAGGAGTCAGAAAGATAACTCAGTATAGAAAGTGAATATTTGGAGAATGTCTCTGTAGATGGTGGGCGTCGTGAAAAAGTTAAAGAAGTTGGTGCTATAGGACGATGTTAATACCGTTAATAGAAAATGTTAGAAATATGAGGTAGTATTAGAATGAGTAGGAGAACAGAGGACTTTATGAAAATCAAAAGTAAACAGGTGAGAAAGATTGGTAGGACTCCTTCTTAGGCATGAAGGGCTAATTAGAGACATATTAGAAGTAGTGTCCGACCGAAAGTTCGGTTTCGGTTACGGCTTCAGTCGAGTTTCGGCAAAAAAACGAGTTTCGGTTTAGTTTCGGTTTCGGCGGCAAACGTGCCGAAACTACGACCGAAACCGAAACTGCGTTCGGGAGTTCTCGCGCTCTGCTCGGTCATGTTCGGCGCGTTAAATTCCATCCAAGCGAACAATAACAAAAGTAATTTTATGTTTAATATTATATAAATAAAAAGCATGAATAATCTTCAAAAGAAAAATGAGTCTAGT